TTTTTTTTTTTTTGTCAATTTAATTTATAGTAAACAGTTAAGTGTTCTCGAGCGAAATATACCAACCTGTATTCCATGTAACTAGGAATACCAAATTCACGGCCTCGTTGCATGTTGAACGAGACCAAATCCAGCCCGAATTTGGCCCCGGCCTTTTTGAACAAATGATTCGTCACCTGGAATTGACACGAGTAAACGAGTCAGTCTGTCGTCTCTTTTACTTTATATTATGCTTATGTCGAAGAAAGAAAAAAATGTCATACTTCTTGCGTGATGGAGTCGTCCATGGCTTGAGCAACCTGATTCATCAGTCCCATGATGTACTCGTCGAAAACTCCAGCACGATACAAATCGAACGGTCTTCTGATCAAGTCCGACAGCCTCTTCGAAGCTAGAAGAGAAATAATTATTTAAAGGAAATTCATTTCAAGTTTAAAGACTATTCAAGTATTTGCAAATCTGGAAATTTCGTCCGACCGATGAATTTGTGAGCTTTGCTCCATCTTTCCACTGCCGTTGGTAGCAGCGAGTGTCCAAATCTGAATGCCGCAGCGGCGAATGCGTCGATCACCGAAGGATTCACGCTCTCGTCGTAGCCATTCCAATATTCCTGTGTAAATTAAATTAAATGCTCCGTTAAATTTTAGCCAGAATCACTGATTCACATGTTTAATTCAACTCTAGATATAGAAGAAGATTAAGAGGAGACTGCTTGAAAAATATTTTAAATTGTACAAAATTTTCAGAGATCATTGGTAAATGGATCGTTGATGACTAGGGATAGATCACTCGTCAGTTTTAAGAGTTCTGAGAGTTTCGTGAGTTTTGAAAGTTTTATGAGTTTTGAGAGTTTGAGAGTTTCGAGAGCTCTGAGTTTTGAGAATTTTGACGGTTTTGTAAGTTTGTAAGTTTTGAGAGTTTCGTGAATTTTGAAAGTTTCGAGAGCTCTGAGTTTTGAAAATTTCCTGAGTTTTGAGAGTTCTGAAAGTTTCATAAGTTTTGAGAATTTTCGTGAGTTTTGAAAGTTTCGTGAGTTTTGAGAATTTCGAGAATTTCGTGAATTTTGAAAGTTTCGAGAACTCTGAGTTTTGAGAATTTCCCGAGTTTTGAGAGTTTTGAGAATTTCCTGAGTTTTAAGAGTTTTGAGAATTTTCGTGAGTTTTGAGAATTTCGAGGATTTC